CTTCACATCCTGCAGGATTCAAACTTATTCCTAACCAACTATAGAGACGTTTTAAGAAGAGAGCCCCAAGCATCTATAAACAAAAATACCCCGAAAGCAAAAGTCTCTGCTCAGCACGGATATTGCTAAGTCCCAACCAATGGGCTACTCACTTTAAGCAAAATTCTAAATAATAAAATTCCAGGACAAAATAAAGACATTTTGAAGTTTCCTTGGAGTTAATGTTTGGCCCATTTATATTCACTGTATGTGAACTAGAGCTTATGAATATTATAATACAGCAAATATTATATAACCCTAAGGGGTATAACGGCCTGCTTAACTCGAGGATTCACTGGAGCAAATTCAGTCTTCAAAGAATGTTTTATAACTCTTGAATCTAAAATAATTTATTCCAATTCATTTTTCATTTAAGAATGAAACATAAAAGGAAGGCATTAGCATTTATTGAAAACAACCCACATTTTCCAAGGATCACGCTAGATACTTAACATTCATTTCTTCATTTAATAATTTTACCAATCTTATGAAGTAGGTATCATTATTCTCATTTTCCAGTTAGGAAACTGAGGCTCAGAGGTTAAAATAACTTCTCTGAAATCACTGGGCTTATTACACAACCAGGCTAAAAACTCTTTCCTTTTTGAGTAAAAGCCCCAGAGTCTCGTCACTGCGTCATGACAGTATACAACTTTTCAAAAAGGGTAGTAGCATCACTAAAAGAAATAACAATAATAAAAATAAGAACCACACACAAGGTAGAGAAATTAAGTGAGATGAGAAACTGTTGCTTTAACTGTGAAAAAAAAAAAAGCCAGTTCACATTTTTCCATGCTTCACAGTTACCCTATGATGTACATCATCAACAATGGAACCAAATTAAGATTTCCTATTTGTCTATGAAGCAATTAGTTTCAAAGATATTCACTGCCTAGAGCCCAGGAGAGTTGACTTTTTAGCAAGAACCATTTGATGATTTGTATAAGAATATCTAAAATGTGTTTCCTCTACCTTCCAAAACTACCATGCCCCATAATTTTGCAAATAGGACAATGAAGTGGCTTTGCATGAAAACATGCTGAGTATTTTGCTTCCTAAATTCTTGTACAGCACATTTCTCTCTATGAAGACTCCATCGAAGGCCGCATTTGACTTAAAGTCTTTTTTTCCTAAATGTTTTGGTGATGTCAGAAGCATTAATTTCTGAAAGAAAGGTAAGCTACACAGTCAGAATTCAACTCTGCAGCCCAGGGGACTAGATGACCACACTCAAGGATTCATCCCAAAAGATTTTAATTACATTAAAATCACATTCGGAGATGACACCTTATGTTCATTGCTTGGGGAGCAAACCTCCCTGAGTCTCCGAATTCAGGCATATGATAAAGGCTGTAAGTACTGAAAAAAATTCCAGTAATAATTCAAAAGTGAAATTGGCAAGGTGAAATTTCCTAAAGGAAATCACACATCCTTATGCACGTTCCACTTAAAAACGTGTGACTGCGCTCTGGCATTTTTTTGAGAAGTACAAAATAAGACATAGCTTTGTTTAGAAAAAAATCTCTACTACCATTAGTTATCGAATGTCAAAAGAAACATTAATGACTAAATGGAATAAGTTAAAGCTATTTGGTGCTAAATGGAAAACAATACAATGAACACATTTTGGGGAGAATCAGAAACATAAATAGTTATGAATATAACCTGCTTCTTTTTAAATTAAGTAAATGTAGAAATTCCAAATTTTAGAACACACAATATTAAGTATAGCACAAAATTATGGATATAAATAACAAGTGTTAACGGATGACAACCTGAATTTCTCACTTTAAAATAATCATAAAAACGATACAATAGTCACCTAATTGAGTAGGTAAAGATCCTTCCAGGGCTACTTTAATGAATGGTTTATAATTGACTAAATATAGTTTATAAACCTGTATTGGGAAAGCTATTTCTAAAATGCATGAAACCATCTCCCACTCCACTAAAATCAGAATACAAAATCCTCCCGCAATCCTACATACACCATTGTATTGCTCTGCAGGTTCATTTTTCATAAATGTTGCCAATATAACGTTCAGCCAAGTCTCTGTCTAAGTTAATGAAGTTCCACTAGGGTGTAAGAAAACAAGAAAGTACTGAGTTCTCAAACAGACTTTTTGCCATTGATCTGCCCAAGAAATGTATAAGACATTGAATCATTTCCTTGTCTCTAAAAAATATGCATTTCCTTGACAATCGTTCAGTACTTTAATTGGAATAAACACAAGATCATCAATGTAAACCACCCAAACAGACTTGAGAGCACTTGAGGGATCATCTTTTCGGCCGCTAAGTTAGAGTAGGGGAGAACTTCCAATGATGGTCCTATCCTATGCCCTGAAGGAGATGTACTCAGTTGTCACATCTGAATGCTTGTTTGCCACATATTTTGCTAAATGATTTTTTGGTTTTACTGTAGTTTCTAACAAACAAGCATATGAGAGAAATGTTAGAAAAAAATGTAGTACAAGTAGAAATATTACTAGTCTTTTTTCCTGCACTTTGCTTCCATTTCATGGCTGCAATGAAAATGATGGTCATCAAAATTGGCTATAAAAGAATTATGTAAATTTAACTAAATTAATATCATTTTTCTTTTTGGACAAAATATCTCACCCCCTGCCCAAACATCTGTTTTTTGCATACATGAGAATTTTCCCAGATGCTGGCACGAAAAGTCTATGTATATATTTTGGCTTTCTGTTTAAAATCACATTCAGAGATGACATTCCACTGCTGGGATATAAATCAGAACTGAAATTACAATACCACACACAATTTTATTGATGCCACTTCTCCACTACTTAAAAAATTTACGTGTTTGCAGTAATTACTTCTAAGCTCTTTACCAATATGCTTTCCACCCACCTAAGTGGTAGGATGGCCACTATTGTTATTAAAACTCCCTCAAATTCTACTCTAAAACTAGTGAAGTCATGTTTATTATGGTGTGCAAAATGGGTCATTGTGATGCAGAGGCAGATGGTGGGGCTGGCCAATGACTCTCTTTACAATGGATACTGATCAGTTCCTGGTCAAGTGATCTAAGGCATGATTGTGTCAATCAAGAAAAACCCATGACAACAATAATGACAAGCCCTGCTGGGCTAGGCTGCTGACTGGAAGGTACAGCTATGGTGACACAAACTTCCTTCCTCAGACATCTCTAAAGAGATGGTTCTTTCTTGGTTTTTGTCATGTGTTCATTAAAAAAGAAAAGGCCTTGCAACTTTCTAGGTACATACACATTTTTCTGTGAAAATTAAATTGTTCACAAAATCATTATGCCCACTTTCAGAAAATAAGAGACAAATAACTGCTGAATCGGCTCTGGGAGGCTTATGTAACCTATATTTGCAAGTGTTTTACTCTGAAGCAAGTAGCTGGGCAACTTAGTAAACATCTGCAAGAATACCCTAAAATTATTTTTTCCGCTGCTGTTAGTCTAGCTATCACAGAACTGCAGAATCAATCTGCTATCCACAAGAACCCCAAACACCATCATATCAAAAAAGTTGCAGATATCAAAAACATAATAATTCAGAACTGTAGTCAAGAAAAGCATTAAATAAAAAACCACCACCACCAACCTTTGCTTGGGCTTCTGGTGCTGTCACCTTGACGACCTTATTGCGGTTTATCATTTGCTTCACCCATTTTTCTACTTGGACGTTGAATTTCATGAAAACCACATAGCAAAAATAAGCTGTTAAGAGAAGCAAGCTTTCCCACCACATGATGACATTATCCAGGAAAAATATGATCAGCATGATCAAGTCAACAATGTAGAAAGACACATCTCGAAAGAGCGGCCACCATGTCAGGTTTAAGATTTCTCTAGAAAACAGAGCACACATGCCAATAACAAAGAGGATGTTGAATACTGCTGAACCTACAATTGTGCCTATGCCAACGTTGCTGTGAGCGATAAATACCCCTATGAGAGATGTGAAAAGTTCTGGGGCTGACCCCCCTGCAGCCATAAAGGTGGCTCCAGCCACATCATCAGAGATGCCCAGTTTTTCAGTGATGACAGTCAAAGAAGGAACAAAGAACTCATCACAGACAATGGCTAAGGCTATGAACATGTAGATCATTCCAATGACATGCAGAATGATTGCACCTTTTCTTCTCTCCTCAAGGGAAAAGATGTCTTTCGGGTAGTCTCCTTGGGCATGATCTGTACTATTCTCAGACTCACCTTCCTTAGGAATAGGTGGCTGTGGAGTATAATCCTGAATTTTGTCATTTAAATCTAAGAGAGTTCTCTGACGGTAACCCTGTGCTACCCTAGGGCCACTTACAACACTGGCCTCTCCTGTGCTCTGTGTGTCTGTCTCAGAAAAGGCACTGATTGAAAATGAGACAGTGCTAATGGCTACCAGACCCATGAAAAGGCCTAAGATTCGAATTAACTTCAGTTTTTTCTTGACATGGTAATGTCTTCTGCAGCCAGACAGTGACTCATCCAAACACCATTTCTCTAGGAAAGTGATGGTGGTGCTTTGGTGCAGATCCATCCTGGGTCTTCTGGTGGATATGGTGATCTTCCAACTTTAGACTCAACCAGATGGTTCTTTCATACTTTTCCTTACTTTATAGTTAACGATGCTTGTGCGGCACTTTCACAGTCAGGGATTCTTATGCTTCACAGGCAACTTTCATCATTTATGCTTAAATAAAAATAAAAAAGAGAATAAGTACATCATAAAATCATGTCTTTTTAATAAAAAGATATTTGCAGATATGATAAAGTCCTGTCCTGCAGCTGTGTGATCTTGGATAAGTTACTTTACTTCTGTGCCTCAGTTTCTTCATTTGAAATGGGGACAGTTACAGTACCTATCACCCAGGATTGTTTTTAAGATGAGTAAAAACATATGTAGCACTTAGTATAGGATGTGGCACTTATGAAGATGTATGTATAAACCCAAATAAATATTTTGGTAAATCCAATGATAGGTGTAGAGAATGCAGATGTAAGAATAAAAATTTTATAGGTGAAAAATCTATCAGATTATCTCATCTTAAATCATGTAACAACCTTCCAGTGCTATAAGTAGGTCCCACTTCTTTCAGAACTGTCTAGGTACTTGGCAACTAACAATTATTCATTGTTTTCTTTTGGTCCAATTATATAATTCTCAATTGTAGGCAATTTTTTTTTGATTTAAGCTATCATTTGGAAAGTGTTTCTTTAATTTAGTTTTATTTTTTCTGCACACATAGTGATATCAGATCTTATTTTTCATAAAAAGCCTCTCCTTTATCAGATGTGGGAAAGTAGTCCTTTACAAATTTAAGTTTACAAAAAAATATTCTGGTGATATGCACAAGCTGTCTTCCCTAAACTAGACATTGTTTTCAGCTAAAGCTTTTTATAAAAAACAGCCTTTAGTCATATTTAAAATAGGCAGCTTAGTAAGTCAAACTCCCAATGCAGTGAAATAACAAGGTTATTTCGAGAGACCACATGTGTATTTCATAAACAATACGCAAGTTGTAGCAATACCTCTGTCCACAAAATCTGCCCAAAATAGCCCCAGCACTGACTTTAATAGGTTAGATATCCAAAGCAGAGTTTTCATTCTCTATCCCATGGAGGAGATGGGTAAAATAGCCAGACATGACAGCTGATATTCTGAAGAGTCCTCTTTTTAGTTTTTCTTTAAAAAGACTATTCTTTTCCATATCAACGATTTCATTTTGGAGGCAGTCGCTGAGATAATCTCAGGTGTAAAATAAGCTAATTAAACACACGCTACTTAAATACTGAGATTAGCTGGAGCTCAGGTTTTCAGAGCAAAGCAAGAGCACAAATCAACCCAGCTGAGTTGCTGCTACTCCTGAGATAACCCGAACCCATCACGGAGATTCCCAGCTGGCTGCGAACGTCAACGCTTAGCAGGAACGATTAAGCGATTCACAGCACTCGGGGGATTGTCTAAATGCCCGGCCCGGGCGACCATCAAGGGACAGATTCAACTCCCCGGGCGCAAAGTCATCTCCAGCCGGATCCTCGCTCCCCCTGCAAACCCACCGCTCGTCTCCCCGAGAGCTGCCTCCGTAGGAGAAGTTCGCCCCCAGCCGCGCCCCAACTTTGCCTTGCGTGGTCCCAAACTTTCCCTGGTGGATTAATAGGAAAATAAATCGAAAGGACAGACGCCCCACCTGTGAGCTTAGAGCTGGGTTGCATTTGGTGAGGCGGTTGGCCCGCATCCCCCTGAGTCGTTTGTAGGTGACTGGGGAAGGGAAGCGCCCCTCTACGCGTCTCCCCCGACGGCAGGCCTTGCCCCGCGCTCCTCATCCCAAGCCAAAAGCAAGGGTAGGAGAGGCGGGGGCTCCAAATCCGCTCCCCGGAGCAGAGAGAGTTGGCTAACTCCTAGCGGGGCCTGGGGCGCCCACATCCACGGCAGAGCCACCTGTGAGCCTGTAGCGCAGCAACGGGATGCCCGCAACCGGGATCCGGGGACCACGACCACCGCGGTTACAGCAGCAGGCGGGGCGCAGCCGCCCGCACTTACCAGGATAAGATGGGAGGACGCGCACACGGCGGGGCCCCCGAGCGCGGCCCGCCGCTGCGGTCCGCCGCTCTCAGGCCCGGGCTCTGGCTCGCACTGGCCGCCGTTCTCGCCAGCCGGGGCTGGTCTCGGGAGGAGACTGAGCCGCTGTGAGCCCGGCGCTCCGAGTCTGCCGCTGCCCGGCCCCCGCCGGCCCCTCCCTCTGGGCTGCGCGCTGGGAGCGGGGCCGCAGCGCGCTCAGCTCCCGAGTCCTTTGCTCCACGCCTCCTGGGCGCAGAGGCGACGCTGGCAGCAGTCTCTTAGGAGATTTCTCCGCAGTGTGGACGGGGGTCAGGATTTGCAGGCGAGCAAGGGCAGAGAGGAGAAATCGTACAGGTCGGTGACGCGCCTAATTCACAAAGCCTGAAAGTGCTGTCAACTTTGGGGTCATCTTATGCTGGGCACCGCCTCTCCAATCATCTGCAAAAAGTGATAGCAGCCGCGCTTTTCTTTAGGCGGCGATGCGATGTGTAATGGTGGAAAAAGACGTTCAGTGAAAAGGAACGGAGGCCTGCAGGACAGGCTGTTGGAGTTCAGGGTTTCTTGAGTGTTGGATTTGGATGCTTGGGACACTGCAGGGGCTTCAGGCTTGCAGGGTGACCTTTCATTTCATGAATGATGAAAGTGAGACCCAATACCCAGTGTCATTTTGAATCACTGATAGGCTTCGCCTTCTGGCCTCGGGATTTCCAGCCTAGTGCTCCTTCCTGTCCTGTCTGGAAAGCAAGTTCCCCTTGACCACAAGAAATAGAATCAGGCTTGTTGGGGCTGAAAGACTAGAATCTGGGCCGAAGAATGGAAGACGATGGTAAGACAAACTGGTAGTGAAGGAACCCCTTTTACCCAACCCTGTGCCCACCAGCAAAGCTGCCAAGAGGTACCCACCTCGTGAAGCTCTGGAAGCTTTTCGCACATTTTCCCCTCTCCTTACCCTCCAACCTTCTGTTCTTTCCCCCATCCAAGAGGGTTTCCTCATGCCCTCCTTATGATGGGGGTAATGGGTATATCCTGAGAGCCCATGACCTCTAACTTAGAGTACAGCTCTGTAGTCAGACCTCTCTGCCTACTCATCGATAAGTCAAGGGAAGCCTTGGGAACTTAGAAATCTTTTTCTCCCCCCTCCCTCCCAATCAAAGCCAGCATTCAAGACTCAACTTTTTTTTTTTTTTTCCTTTTTCCTTTCGAAACTGGATCTTGCTATGTTGCCCAGGCTTGTCTTGAATTCTTGGGCTCTAGCCATCCTCCAGCCTCAGACTCCCAAGTGCTTGAAGACTATAGGTGCCTGACTGAATTTTTTTTATCTTTAACTTTTAATTTAGTAAACTTCAAACATACACAAATGTAAGAAAGTAGTATAATGAATCTCCGTGGGGCCAGCACCAGCTTGAACAATTATGAACTCACGGCCAGTCATATTTCATCTACACCCCTTTTTCTTGTGTCATCATTTTGAAGCAAATCCCAGAGCATCATATCATTTTATCTGTAAATATTTTCAGAAAGTAAGAAACCTATCAGCTACCACTAGGGTTGTGGGGACAATTCAAACAGGCAGTCATTGACCAAAGATGAGCTAATTTGAGCATCAAAAAAAAAAAAAAAAAAAAAAAAAAAAAAAAAAAAAAAGATAATCGCAATTGTTTAAAACACATCAAACATGATTATATCTATTAATTGATAATATTTTAAAAACAACTGAACAGATGGATTGCTTGATGGTTGAGAGGGAACCAGTTCATAATTTTCAAAACTATTTTAGGAAAAAGAAAACAATTGTGCATTTATTTTGCTTTTTCTATACAAATTGGACCTCTGGGTAACTAATTAGGCTTTATTTTTACCCTGCCTTTGTCTATTTTCCTAGTTTAACAATCCTATTCTTCCCTGAGGCAATAGGTGCCTCTGGCTACATGGGGTGTGGAGGGGAATATCATGCACAAAGTTCTGCTTAAAAGAAAATATTTTAACATAATTAAAAAAATTATTTCTACAACCATGTCATACTGTTCCCACCAGGATCTTTTGTTGTTGCTGTTTGTTTTTGTTTTTAAATTTTTATTTCAATAGGTTTTAGGGTTCAAGTAGTTTTGGTTACATGAATAAGTTCTTTAGTGGTAAGTTCTGATATTTTAGTGCACCCATCACCTGGGCAGTGTACGCTATACCCAATATGTAATCTTTTATCTCTCACTTCCTCCCAATCTTTCCCCCGAAGTTCCCAAAGTGTATATCATTCTAGTGCCTTTGTGTCCTCATAGTTTAGCTCCTACTTTTAAGTGAGAACATACGATATTTGGTTTTTCATTTCAGAGTTACTTCACTTAGAATAATGGCCTCTAATTCCATCCAAGTTGCTGCAAAAGACATTATTTCATTTCTTTTTATGACTGAGTAGTATTCTGTGGTGTATACCATATTTTTTAAATCCACTTCGTTGATAGGTACTTAGGTTGGTTCCTTATCTTTGCAATTGTTAATTGTGCTACTATAAACAAACAGGTGCATGTGTCTTTTTCATATAATGACTTCTTTTCCTTTGGGTAGATACCCGGTAGTGGGATTGCTGGATCAAATGGTAGTTCTACTTTTAGTTCTTAAAAAAAAATCTCCATACTGTTTTCCACAGTGGTTGTACTAGTTTACATTTCCACCAGCAGTGTAAAAGTTTTCCCTTTTCACCACATGCATGCCAATATCTATTGTTTTTTCACTTTTTAATTATGATCATTCTTGCAGGAGTCAAGTGGTATCTTGTGTTTTTAATTTGCCTTTCTCTAATTAGTGATTTTGAGCATTTTTCATGTTTGTGGCTGTTTGTATATGTTCTTTTGGGAGTCGTCTATTCATGTTCTTTGCTCACTTTATTTGTTTGCTTCTTGATTTGTCCGAGTTTCTTGTAGATTCTGGATATTAGTCCTTTGTCAGATGCACAGATTGTGAAGATTTTCTCCCACTCTGTGGGTTGTCTATTTACTCTTCTGATTATATCTTTTGCTGTGCAGAAGATTTCTAATTAGGTCCCATTTACTTATTTTTGTTTTTATTGCATTTGCTTTTGGGGTCTTAGTCATAAATTCTTTGCCTAAGCTAATGTCTAGAAGAGTTTTTCTTATGTTATCTTCTATAATTTTTATGGTTTCAGGTTCTTCCCCTACAGCCCAGAGATGACCCTGAATCTTGATCTGGTGAGAAGGGGAATGAGATCCAGGTGAAGACCTCATGAGTCCACAGAGTGTATTGGTTGGGATTTGCATTTGGTTGCATATAAAAAAAATTCATTCTTGGCGATTAAACCAAACAAGAATTTATTTTTCTCATGGTTAAAAGAAGTCTGAAAGCAGACTGCCCAGGGTTTATAAAACAGCTTCAAGATGCTATCTGGGAACCCAGATCCTTTGATCTGTCTTTCTTAATGTATGGCTTTATCCTCATGGCTACAAAATGGTTTCTTCTTTTGGCATTACATCTGTGTTCCAGGCAGGAAGAAGGGAAAGAGTGAATGGTGAAAGGTAGAAGGCCTCCTTACTAGGCTTTGTCTTTTTATTTAGGAAGGGACACTGTCAATGCTTCACTTACATTCCACTGATCATGACTTGGCCACAAGACATAGCTGCAAGGGAGTATAAACGGTGTTTCAACTGGGCACATAGTCATCTTTTAGAAAATCAGGGCTCTTTTAGTAAGGGAGAAGGGGGAAATAAATGTCGTGGGAGTGACTAGAATTATTTGACACACAGTTCCAAAGCATCTCAGTGAGATCCATATTCGACTGAAGATTTGACAGTTGACCAAGAACTTGGCAATTAATTGCCACAACAGTTGAGAAGGCTACAACTTCCATCTTGGTAGCAATGGAGAAAAGCAAGGCCTGTCATTTGTCCAAGTCACACTACATGGAAGCAGAGGAATTGAATAACAACTGTAGGTCTCCCAGATCCACAGACCTTATTGCCTAGTCATAAAGAAAGGATAGCTTCAGGAGAAAATTTACTACCATCAGATGAGTTGTTAAACAGTAGCACTTGCTAAGAGACTCAAGTAGATTAATCAATGGGTCTCTTTAGAAATTATTAAGGAGCCACTTCTTTATATTTGTAGATACTTGTGTAAATATAAACATTAGTTGGCATCATATTTACCCTTCTATTAGCTGTAAGATTGGTTTTAACATATAGTTTATAGGAGTCATTAGTATTACTAGTTAAGAACAATGGGCTCTTTTTGTTTTGAAGAGGAGGCTTTCAAAAATCAGTAATGAATTTTAAAAATCACTGGGTCATACTTAAGCTAATAAAGGATTTTTAATATAAAACTGCCGAAGGGGTGCTAGTTAATAGTTTTGCTAAGCACCCATATCATTTTCACATAGCTATCTAGGATGGCATGATTTAAAATAGGGTTAGAAATAACCTCTTGCCCCATCTGAAATAACATCCCCAGGGGACCACTGTAGCTACAATTCCACCATTAGAAATTCATTGCTTTGGCTTTATATTTTATAACTTCAGGAATTTTTAAAGAAGCAAGTAGCTCTGGAGTCATAGTAATGATTGGCAATTTTTTATTGTTTTTGACTTGTTTTTTTGTCTCAAGGGAAAAAAATTCTAGTAAACTGTCATGAGCAGAAGGTAAAAGAGATGGCTGAGGGCCAGGTGTGGTGGCTTACACCTGTAATCCCAGCACTTTGGGAGGCTGAGGTGGATCACCTGAGGTCAGGAGTTTGCGGCCAACCTGGCCAACATGGTGAAACCCTGTCTCCACTTAAAAAAAAAAAAAAAAAAAAAAGCTGGGTGTGGTGGCAGGTGCCTGTAATCCCAACTACTTGGGAGGTTGAGGTAGGAGAATCATTTGAACCTGGGAGGCGGAGGTTGCAATAAGCTGAGATGGCGCCATTGCACTCCAGCCTGGGAAACAAGAACTAAACTCTGTCTCAAAAAAAAAAATAAAAAAATAAAAAGATAGCTGAGTCAGAAAGTTTTGGGCAACCCAGGGACAAAATGAAGTACAGTACTTATACGTTGTTAATCATTTCTTTCTTCATTATCTCCACATATACCACCCTTTTTCTGACTTTTATTAAAATCTCTAGCTTCTCTGTTATTAAAATTGCAGGCAATCAGCAATTGCAGGCAATATTCAATGTGCACAAAAGCAGTAGTTCCAAACCTTGACTTTAGCTAAGCAAAAGAACTGGGGATATTTTTAAAAGACTCCTGACAATGACCCTCACTCTTCCCCCATTACTATGAGCCCCATAAGAACAAAGAGTCAGTATCATGCATTTCTCAGCATCTAGCCCTGTGCTTGGCATTTTGGCCAACACATATCTGTGGAGTGAATTAAGATGATGGCAAATACAGTTACTTAAAGGAAAGTGAGTCAGTCAGGAGGATGTAGGTTATGCTATGGTAACAAAAAGTTCAAAAATCACAGTGGCTTAAAACAATGAAGGTTTTTGTTTCTCACTTGTGTTACCTGTCCTTTGTGAAGTTTGCTGTGTCATCCTAACTCCTAACCCCAAGCTGGTCACTATCTGAAACACTGCCATTTGCTGTTGCAGAGAGAAAAGATGCATGGCAAACCTAGAACTTGCTTTTGAAGCTTCAGCTTGGAAGTGATGCATCACTGCTGCTAATATCTTATGGACTGAAGCAAATCAGATGGCCATATCTATTTTCAAGGGAGCAAGAAAGTGCAGTTGCATTGTGCGCTTGGGAGAAGAATGGAAAGATTTGGTGATCATCAATAGTAACTACCACGATGGGCATCAGTGGTGGGAAAAGGGAACTGATATGTTACACACCTACCATGAACTAGAGTGTTTGCTAATCTTTTTTCAAGCTCATGAGTTTTATCACCATTATTATCCACAGATGAAGAAACTGAGGCTCAATGAGGTTAAGTACCTTGCCCAATATCAAACAGCTCCTTTTGAATCCAATAATGGCTCCAAAGCCCGAGTTCTATTTCTCATAGTATATGATAGTCTCTACTTAACTAAGAGTTAGTTGCATTTTTCCTGTTGAGATTATATACTTAGAACCTATGGATTTCTACCAACAGCCCGTCAACAATCAAGGATAGTTGTCTACTTCCTAAGAGGATCTGCTTTGCTTGTTTAAAAAAATCACAGATATAAGTATCAAAATATCCTGATGTTCTTTAAGAAATGTTCTCCTCAGGCCTCCAAATCTGGACTGATTTTATTTTCCTTTGCATTGGGCTCATTTTTTGTCTGGTGGCTTTCCTTTTCAGTTCAATGAGAACCATAAAAGTAGAAAAAAAGTTCTGCGGGATTGAGGGATGAAAGTGCAGACTGCTTTGCTTTTGACAGAGATTTCTGCAACAGCACTTAAGGCCAACCCCCCCATGATTGCTTTTTCTTCTTTTCTTATTCACTTACGAGGTGAGAAGTGATGAATGCCTATTATTTTTACATTAGGAACAGGAATTTTTCTGGCCTTAAAAGCCCAGGAAGCCCTGAAATTAAGCCTCTCTTTGCAATAGCAGCTCAGCTTCATTGCACCTGAGCAACAAAACAGGTTATAGTCATTATCCTAAGTGAATTAATGCAGGAACAGAAAACCAATGCCACATGTTCTCATAAGTGGGTGCTAAACATCAGGTACACATGGACACAAAGAATGGAACAGTAAACATGGAGGCCTACTTGAGGGTGACAAAATTATTTGTACATCAAACCCCTGTGACATGCAATTACCAGTGTAACAAACCTGCAGGTTTACCTCTGGAACCTAAAATAAAAGTTGGAAAGTTGGAAAAAAAAAAGCCACAGTGTGAGGTCTCCAAGGGCAGAAGTGTGGTCTGTCCATTTCATCAAGAGACTTGGTGTCTCAACCCTTGGCTACTATTGCTACTGATTCCAGCAGGGACTTCCTGAGAGTCCCCTAGGGTACTTCCTCGTCTCTCAGAGCCACATCAGTAAGGAAATAAGGATAAATAATACTTGTAAAGGAGGCACACTGGAGAAGAGGGTACAAAGGCAAGACAGCCCGCTCGGAAGGCAAGCAAGGAGCAATGCTTTTTATGACTCAAAAAAAAAAAAAAAAAAAAAAATTGTGCTCCTGCTGCCTTCTTTCTTAAGCTAGACTCTCTACCTATTTCTGGTTCAGAATTTCAACATAAAATAAAACTTAAAATACTGAGAAAGAGGAGCCATGTGCCTGGAGCCTCAAACATAGGACAAGCCAGAAGGAAGGTGCTACTGTGTCTGTGGTTTCTGAATACTGAACTAAAATACTTGTTTTATTCAATTCATAAAATTGAAAGCAATGTCACTATTTTCCCAGCTAGGTTGTGGAGAGGGGTCTCAAGTTGTTCTGCTGGAACAAAGCTTCCTCCATCTCCTCCATACAGTATGTACATATGTGGTGGGTGTATCCCAGTGGGCTGGGGAGTATCCCTCAGCATCCTGACACTATGTGAGCAGGCACCCCCCACTACTCCCACCCGGCCCAATGCTGGGATTCAGGTAATAAGCCTGTTTGGGGTTCATGCCCACCATTCTCCAAACTGGCACTTCTTAGTAATAACAGTGACAGTTCCTCTCCACTTGTCTCTCTTTATGCTCATCTCCCAATTTGTTTGAAGTCAAGATAGGAAGACAGGTGACATATATTGAACCCCTCAAATACTCCAAATGTATATGGAAAAACTGTAAATCTTTCTCCCCGAAACTTCTGCTTCCTGGTCTCTAGAAAGAACCATATTCAAAGGTTTTAGCTGTTTTGTTTTTTAAAGTTTTTGTTCCCTGGTACTTAGAACCATCTTTCAAAGTAGTAGGGTCACTTTCCTGTCTCTTGATCTTTCTGATTTGGATATTAGCTCTTAAATTTTTATCAGGGAAGAGGTGGATTTCTTCCTCTCACAATATTCTCCCCCTTCCCTCTCTGAAGCCTCCATCTCACCATACTCCCTCTTCCATTCTTCCCATATAGTTATATTACCACTTGGAATACATTAATAGTCAGCATTTACATCCTATAATTATGTAACTATAAGAATCAGTTGAGCTGCTTAGTATACTAATTCACCCCAAACTCTCTGATAGAACTGTTCATTTCCCCTCAGTGTTTTCAAACATGTCAGTTGAACTTCCAGTTTCTTGTTTCTTCCTTGACAGCCTATGCCCAAGTTTTATGTCTCCCACATGGTACTTCATTCTAGGAATTTTCTGCGCCTCTTCTTTGTGTTAAAAACCCCGTGTCCTGAAGCCTCTTTCTTGTTTATGCCTTTGCTTTTTGGAGCACAGCCTCCAGTGTCTTCCCCAGAATGGGGCACAGGAGGAAAATGTTTGAATTCTTGTATGTTTTTGATGTATTTTTCCCACTCTCATACTCTATTTTCAAAGTATGGCTTTGTGTAAATATCTAGGTTAGAGATAATCTTCCCTCCATATTTTTAAGGCAATCCTTTCTTCACTGTATTTGACATTTCATTGTTTCTATAGAGAAGCCTGATATCATTTGAATTCCTGGTCCTTTTTGATGGAATCTATTTTTTCTTTTGAGATCTTTAAGTCTTTTTACTTGCAGTGTTCTAAATCTTGATGATAATATACCTTGGAGTGGATCTTTTCTCATTCATTATTTTCTGCCTAGAAACTCATAAATATCTGGGAAATTTGTTTTGTGTATATTTAAAAAGCTTTTCTTCTCTCCATTTCTCTTTCCTTTTTGGAATCTCTATTATTTTCATATTGACCTTCCTTGCCTGATCCTCTAATTAATACTTTATCTTTTCTCCATTTGCTATTCATCAACTTTATCATTTAACCCTTCTCTTGGTAAAAAGTCTTCACATTTTTAACTTTTAAGAAGTTCTATCTTATTCTTTGCATATTTCTATTACTGTTTCCCATTTTTATTTCATAGGTCTTGTAGCTTCTCTTATGTCTATGAGATAATGTAAGTTTCATGAGGTATAAATTTTATTTGGTTTGTTCATTACTTTATGTTGAATGCCTAGAACAATGAGTGCCTACTGTAGTAGGTGAATGATGAGTATCTTTGAATTAACAAGACTATTTACTGTAGCTTATTGTGTATTCTGCTCCCTGAAGTTTCTGTTTCCCACAAGTTCCTTTTTACTGTAATATTTGTTCTGGCCTGGTTTTCATATCACAGGCTTTTCTAATACATCTGGTGATCTTTGTTGTATGTTAATAATTATGAATCAGGCATTAAAATGCTAATGAAAGCTTTTGCTTGGATGCAACCTGCCAAGTAGAGGTCTTTACTGTAGGGTAATCAAGTGAGGATGCAACCGTTTCATTGCCAGAAACACATGTCAGTATCTGTGCATAATTTCTTAGGCTGATCAATTTCCCCAGGGTGGGTTCTCTAAGCTCTTCTCTGAAGTATTTGTGTTTGGCTGCCAGCAGTATGAGAGTTGAGCTAAAAAAGAGGCTGGGAGACTTTTATTCTTCACTTTATGGATTTTAAGGTAGCTTACCCTTATTTTCAGCTTTGCTTGATGTCCTAGAACAACTCTGGCTTAGCTCCTACAGAGAATCAACCTTCCCCTTTTTGCCAGTGTGGGAAGGGGCAGTCTCCTGGCCATAAAGGATGGGGAACAGTGTTTGTAGATATAATTGCATTTTTAAGATTTTCAGCCCCACCTTGTGCCTCTAACGCTACTGGTTTTCTATTGTAGGCCATAACAAATTACCACAACCTTTGTGTTTCAAAACAACATTTATTATCTTACAGTTCTTTAGGTCAGAGATCTGGTATGGGCGAGTTCTTTCCTGGAGACTGTATCATGTTTATATAGAATTGGATCTTATTTTTTAATCTGAGATTAAATTTCACTTAATAAACTAGTTTATTCATTTTAGTTGCTTGAAGTATGCTTTATCTAAAATTTGTCATCTCATTTGATATTTATGTTTTTAATGCTTCATCATTTTCTTTCATTTGTTATTTTATATAATATGATTCCACTTGTATTTGCTGATTTGTCAATGTTAGTAGTACTGATTTGTTGCTAAAAACAAGGCCATTTCTGAACTTAACATTCTTTCTTAAAACTCCTTTCCCAACTGCATAGAACAAAATAATTCCTACAGCCATAGTTAGTCTTAGTCCTTTACTGAATAAGTCGCATACTCCATCTACTTCTTCCAAAATACGATTTTCTTACTTGTACAGTTTTAATATTAATTCATACCTTGGTTAGCTGGATTTAATTACCAAGTCATTTTTACAAAGAGGGCCTATGGGTGAGATCTTTAATATTGATAAATCTTTCCATTTCTTTTATATATGAACAATAAGTTTGATCAAATTCTTTATCTCTCACACACACACACACACACACACCCCCCGGAAATTGCAGATACTGTTCCACTGACTCCGTCACCTGGTTTGCTAATGTAGAGAAACATGTATCCATAATTTTTTCACTTGCTTTATCTGCTCATATGCATGAAGTATTCTTCCTTTACCTTTGAAGTTCTGTAACACAAATGGCAAGTCTCACCGAAGATCTATAGCTATAGCTATTTATGCCTCTCTCTACTTTTTCTCAAATAAGGTATGCCCTTTCTCTCTGAATCTTTACTTTATTTCTGGTTAAAAAACGTGATTTTTCTGTTTCTAGTTGTATCACCTTCTTTGGGAATAATTACAATTATACACATATTACCTTTCCATCCTCTGTAGCACCTCCTCCCTCATTTTCATCTTCTTGTATTTCATTTCGTTTTATTTCATGGGTTTTTCAAAGAAAGCTTCTTCACTATTCTAACTCCTTTTGAAAATAGGTTTTATTCTACTTCTTGCTGTTGCTAATGGTAGTTTTATTTCTACTGTTTCTATTTTTTTCTTTTATTCAATTTCTTTTTTCAACTCTTCTAACTCATGCTTTTTTCTCCTACTATCTCATTTCTCCAGTTTTATCTTTCATTCATTATCTTAGCTTTATTTCTTTTATCTACTTAGAAAAAGCCCTTGTCACTTTTATTTCTTTGAGAGAAAATACTTTGCTGAAGTATTTGCCTGATATACTTTTTCTGTTTCCTAAAGTAATTCTTCTTCTGTATATTATTTATCTGCCTTCTGCATGTGATGTTTCTTTCAACTCATGTCACGTTCTATGTGTATCTATATGGTAGAATCCATATTGTATCCTTTACTCACTCGTCTTTTACTGTGGTAAGTTCTCTACATGCCTGCACTTAGCTCATGAAGTTTGGAGAGGAATGGGAGGTAAGGAATGAGGCGGAGTGATTTGAAATAGCTGTCAGCTTAAAATCAGCTTAAAACCACAGATAGCATAAAACCTATAGATCCTCTGCATAAACCAGATCTCACCTTAACTTTTAGCCTCCTCTAACTGCAGTGAGAAAGCACATCTAGGTGAGCTCACAGCGTGGCTCATAATGAAGGCTAATAGATCGCAGATGTTTTGTGTTTCATAATTTGGTGTTTATTTCTATTCAGTCCACTTTGGTCACCACTATAAATATGCTTAATACTCTCCCCTCTCTCCATCATACTCTAGTTTTTCAATTGGTATATTAGTTTCTTTGGGCTGCCTCAGAAAATGACTACAAACTTGGTGGCATCCAACAACAGAAATGTATTCCTTCACAGTTCTGGAGGAATCTGAAATCAAGCAT